ACTTTACTTACTATGTGCATTGGATTTGATACTCAACGTGGAGTCAACCTAGAAATGTTTCCGCCGTCGATTTTCGGTAGGGATGAGCAAACCCGAACCAAGAAACCGAGAAACCGACAAAAACCGACGAAACCGAAACCGAAAAAACCGAAACCAAATCAAAACCGATGGTGTGGGTTTTAAATTTGTAAAAACCGACTTTCCGGGTTCGGTTTTGGTTTTGCCCCCAGAAACCGACCCAACAACCCGAGAAACCGACCCCTCTTTAAAACCGAGAAACCGACCCAGCAAACCCGCAAACCCAATGCTTTTTACTGATTATTTTATGTTTATATATATATATATATATATATATATATATATATATATTAAAAAATAAAAATAAATAAAAGAAGCTTAGGTGTTTTTTTAATTATTTCACTAATTGTTACATTTCTGGAAAATGGGCTCAAACCCAAAACCCATGGGTTTAAACCCAGAAATCGTAAGTGTATGGGTTGAACCCAAGAAACCGAGAAACCGCCCAAACCGATATCAGAAACCGAGAAACCGAACCGACCAGAAACCGACCCTATTGGGTTCTGAAAACCAGAAACCGATCATTTACGGGTTGGGTTGGGTTGGGGTCCAAAACCGACCCAAACCGACCCATGCACAGCCCTAATTTTCGGGGTGTGACAAGATATCAACTGTACCGTTCTCTGAAGCGGCGGCCAGGAAGACGAAGGCCCTAGGGCTTTTTCTTGCTAGTTGGAAGAGGCGGGGGGTTTAATTTTTGGGATTCAATAGGCGGGTGAAATCCCGCCTTAAAAACGCGTGTTTCATTAAAATTATAAAGCGACACATTTAGAGGACGCACATTTTATGAAAGGCGCCCTCCGCATTTTTTTTCTTTTCTTACACTCATTTTAGGGCACGCACAAATGCGTGTCCACTATCCTTCAAATTTTGAAAAATTGACATTATTTTTTAGGGCACATACAAATGCGCGTCCTTTATCAGCGAGTTTCATTGTTTGTGTGTCATTAAAGGGTTGTTTTCTAGTAGTGTTTATTTATCACCATATTTATTACCCATCATTCATTGCATACTGTTTCAAACTATCAACTTTATACTTGAATTAAAATAATAGCTGTCCCATGCTCCAAGCATGTACATTATGTTTTCTAAACACTAGTCAGGCCATACACCAAGTATGCACACTACGGTTGTCTAAACATTAGTTATGCCATACACCAAGTATGCATACTAATTTTGTCTATGATCTTTACTTTGTGAAATAGATCGATTGAACATAATTCCAATGATTCTCACTTCACAGTCCCAAACCCTTACCGCAAATGCAAGAATTCCAAATCCTATCATTTACCTAAATTTATTAGATTCTAAACTTATATGAATTGGTCCTCTTGTAATGATTATGCACAAAGTCACAAAGACTTGTCAACAAACATTATAGAGTATTCCAATGGAGACCAACTCCATGGAACCGAAGTCTCATATTCAAAGTTCATTGCCTTTGTGATGGGTTTGAGCCACAAGAACATCCTATGTGATTGTACATGCATTCATCCAAGACTTTCTAACCCTAGATCTAATGATAATAATTGAAAATTACAATGACCAAATCAGATCTAGAAGATTACCTCTTGTTGCTTGCTTGAATCTTTCTTCTTCCTTGAGCTTAGAGTCAGAAGTGTAACCCCTCTAATGGCTTACAAACACCCACTAGCAAGAGGGTAGTATTTGAGAGAGGAAAGAGGCACTTGAAATCGACTCTAGGGTTCTAGGAGAAGCAGTGGCCGATTTCTGTAACCTAGGGGATCCATTTATACTGTGAGCAGCTAGGGTTTCAGTCAAAACCCTTATGGATAGCTTAAACATTAAGCAGCCCATGGAACCTTCTGGAATAAGGCCATGGACGAAATATGATGGACTCCCATCATAATTTCGTTCACCCCTTAGTCCATTAGGTTTCCTAACCCAAAATACAACTATCAAACATTTGACAGTTTAAGTCCCTTTATTCAATTAATCTCTTTTAGTCACCAAATTAATTCCTAATTAATCTATGACTAATATTAATCAAATAATATGATTTCTCCTTTAATATATTATTCTTATAATATATTAATAAACCATAATATCTTCTTCTTCCTCTCTCTCTCTCCATAAATTACCCTGTTAAGTTGCTATGGTGAAGGCAACCCAAAAAGATCATGCACAACCGGGTCAAGTACTTACCAAATATAGTTACGGGCTTAGACGCTAATCCAACAAAAATGACTTAATAGTGTAATATATTTATCACTTTGTACACATTTAGTCCTTAATATTTTTGTACATATTTAGTCCTTTTTTTTTTTCAAAATAAGTTTTTTATTTTTTTATTTTTTTTTATACTCATTCAGTACTTATGAATGATTTCTTTAGTTTTTTCTCATGAAATCTTATGTGTGACATTAATTAATGAGGTGTATGGGGCTTTTGATGCTTATATCCATCGCAATCTCGACTACTTGGTTGCTTAAGTCATGTGTTCTAAACGTCATAACTTCTTCACACGACCTCGAATTTTAACGATCTTTATATTCATGCATTCATAGTTTAGTCTAGTGCAACTTTCATTTAGATTATTATCATTAAAAACTAATATAATTTTACTTATGATTTTTATATCCATACGTAGGGGCAAATTTAGCATAGTCCCGGTGTTGCACCGACGACACCTGTTTTTTTTGTTCGCAGTGAATTTTTTTTCGATTTTTTTCATTTATACCTATTTTTCATGTATCGGCAACAGTTATTTCATCTCGGCAACACCTACTATGTATTCCTGCCTCTGCCCCTGTCGATACATTTTTTATGAATGCATGTATGTATGTTTTTTTATAAAATCGTAAGTAAAAATATATTACATTCTAAAAGGAGTAATTTTAATGAAAGTTGCAGTAGACTAAAAAATTGAACACATGGATATAAAAATCGTTAAAATCTGATATCGTATGAAAAAGTTATGATGCTCAAAATACAAGACCTAAGCTAAACCACAATACCTACGCAACCAAGCAGTCGAGATCGCGTTGGACATAAGCATCAACAACCCCAAACACCTCATCAATGATTGTCCCACGTAAGACATCGTGAGAAAAAACCTAAAGAAATCACTCATAAGTACCGAATGAGTACAAAAAAAGACTTATTTTTAGACAAAAAAATGTTAAGGACTAAATATGTACAAAAATATTAAGGACTAAATGTGTACAAAATGAAAAATATATTACCCTATTAAGTCATTTTTCCAAGCTAACCTGGAGTAACCGGTCATAAGGACTGAATGTGTACAATTTAACAAGTTGAAGGGGTAAATATGGACGAAAAAAACTCAGTGAACAAATGTGTACAAATCGAAAAATGTATTACCCTTTTAAGTCATTATCCCTATTGAAAACCATCCTATAAATGAAAAACCCAATTTCAAAGTTGAATCTAATTTCAAATCCTAATTTTCAAAACACTTACAACTTCAATGGGAGTAAGAGAAAACAGTGAATCGCCATGGAAAACTCCAATTCTAGTCAACTATCACAAGAATCAATCGACTAAACCCTAACCAAGAGAAATCAAGGTACTGAGAAATATATTAGGGATGTGATCAAAAAATACCTGTGGAGACAAAACATTTGATTGGCGACACTGAGGAAAAACATGATTTGGGGGAACACTCTGATATTAACCATAGAGATCGGAGAACGTTGTTACCATTTACTGATGATACCGAAGAGGATTTCAGAACGTCGCAGTGGTAGTGGAGCTGCCGGGGACATCTCAATGGCTTTTTAGCACACTTTCAAACATGATTTTACAAAGCGAAAAGCCATAAGGACCGCAAAACCAGATCAAGAAAGCAAATCATGTTGTATTCTACTTCAGATCTAATGGAACAAGATCTTGTGGCGGGTGAAATGAGATCTGGTGATGGTTCGGTAAAGGAGAGGCGGAGGATGTGGTTTCAAATGGTCGGAGGTGGAGAGAGGTGGCGAACAAGCAGATCAGAAGGTAGTGGAGAGGTGACAATTGAGTAATTCCGACAATGTTATAGTGGTTTCGGTGGTGTTACAGTGGTTCCGACGGTGGTCTGTTGAGCATGATGGTGGTCTAGGTTTACCTTCTAATTAAGAGAGAGAGAGAGAGAGAGACTATCACTGTATGAAAGAGAAAGCATCACTGTGTGAATATGTTTAAAACTAGTGGTTCAAATTTGTTCACAATTGTTTTCAATTTAAGAAATATTCTCATTTGAACATATATACATCTATATATATTTGGAACTTCTTACATCTTTAAGTATTTTCCTTTGAGTTTTGATACTTTTTTAGTTTTTTTTTAAAACACAAAACTTAAATTAGTTTAAAAAATAATGACTAGTTTTGTTTTTTCTTTAAAAAATATCAGATTGTGTTAGACGTTAAAATATTATTAGAAAAAAATAATTTTATCGCATATTTTAATAATTTGTTTATTTAAATTTTAAAATAGTTGGTCTCACGTTGTAATTAAGGAGGTGTTTGGTTTAGTTTTTGAGAGGCCAAAAATCCTTTTAGGAAAAATTATAAAAAGTCAGGTTTACCTGATTTTTTCAAAAATTTCATTTTCTTTATATCTAAAAATAGTTTTTACAAGATCTAACTTTTCCAAAAATTTCATTTTCCTTATATTAAAAATAGCTTTTACAAGATCTGTTGCTTTTACCATTTAGTTTTTTATCTTTTCCTAAAACTAACGTCGAGTTTAACTTAAAGGAAGAAAAAAAAGAAAGTTGATGGAAATAAGAATAAAATAAAAGAAATTAGTATTCGGGCTAACGTCGAGTTTAACTTAAAGGAAGAAAAGAAAGGAAATTGATAAAAATAAGAATAAAATAAAAGAAATTAGTATTCGAGGGAAATGGAGGAAAATAAAAGGATCATTTTCCCCTTTGTAAGGATTTAGCAAAATGATTCATTTTCCTTGTTAAACTCAGGAAAGACGCGTAAAAAGAAGTTTTAAACACCACCTAAGTCAACATTCGTTTCGAGAGTATCAGGATCTCGTCATAAGAGAGAAAAAATCTGCCTAAGAAATCGATCATTCGGCGGCCATGGAAGAAGAAATCGACAAGGTGAAGTCTCAAATGGTAGTTGAAGAATGGAGTGGGACTTCGTCGAACAAACTGTCGTTGACGGCCGTTATATCTCCGTCTTCTTCTCCTTTGTCTTTCACGTTGAAAAGACATGGTAATCGATTCAAGCTTTTTTCCCGAAGGTTCCTCGAGGCATTTGTTCCTGAGGTAATATAACACAAACAATCCACATTCTATTCGCTAATGTTCTCGTCCAATTTCGCATACTTCAGCTATATGCGGCTCCAATTAGTTTATTAGCCAATCTGTACTTTGAATCGTTATGAAATAATCTACATATCTTGGTGCAAAATCTGATGTCTACATTGACAATTAATCCACAGCTGAAAGTGTGCGATTATACCTGTATGTTTATTTCCATGAATCGAGTACTAGTTATAATCGAATATCACTAGGTTGATTATGGAGAAAGGTATCTAGCTTGATATTGAACTGAAGCACTCTAACATAGATATCCATAGCTGTTTGTCAATCAGCTTTTGTGGAAATTTGATAAATAGGTCACACGAATACCAAATGCTATGAATTGAACATTGTCGTGATGTTTTTGTTTCAAAATCTCTATGAATTGAACACTGTGTGTCCTATGCACTTGAAGTTTCTTACATCTGCTGTACTACTCCGTGGATGCAGGGATTTCCAAGCAGTGTGACTCCAGATTACATCCCTTTTCAGACATGGGATTTATTGCAGGTTTGAGATCCATGGCTGCTTCTTGGAAGTGTTAGTGCCTTAGTATAATTTTGGAATTCTCATAGGAAGTATTCTAATGGATTCAATGTCTTTCATAGGGCCTTTCAACATACATAAGGACCATGCTTTCTACACAAGTAAAGATGTTTTTATGTACTATTAAATTTAGTCCCTTTATGATCATTTCAAGTTTAAAAATTCATGTTTAAACATCATTCACTCACCATATCACTTTACTAGGCTCTCTTAAGTGCTATAGGAGTTGGGGAGAAATCAGCAACTGTAATTGGGGCTACTTTTCAGGTATATTCTTTGTGTATCAAGTCTACTATTATTATAATAAATCATTGGTGATGTTGTCCATTTGCTTCATAACTGGAACTCTTGCAGTGGTTTTTGAGGGATTTAACTGGAATGCTTGGAGGTGTCATGTTCACATTCTACCAGGTGTGTAGTTCTGTTCATTATAGCCCATCCTTACTCATATATGAATCTTTTTATATACAAAAAAAAAAAAGTAATTGGTTTGAATATTTATGTGCTTCACTTGAAGACCATGTAGTTTTATACTACTGTATATCTCTTTCATAACATTTCACATAGGGTGTTCTACTTCTATATTCATTCATCAAGGGGTCTGTAAATCATCTATTGATATGCCCTGAGATCTCCAACTTGCTTAAGATTTCTAAAAGTAAGACAATACTATAGAAATTGCACAAGAAATTAACGAAATCAAACTTCAATTGATAAACTCCATCTTTCGAGAAGATGGGCTCTCCAAATGCATAAAGCACTACTCAGTTTATACTTTTTACACACCCAAAACAGACACAGACAAGAACCTTAAATAGCAAAAGAAAAGGACAAAAATAACAAAAAGACCTGCAGCTCATTCCATGACCAACATGACACTCCCATTATCAATGTTCCCCACAAAAAAGGAGCTGCCACATCAGAATTACACAATTACCCCTGGATGTCTTGAATTGGTTGTTTGTTGGTATTCATCTCATTCCACCCTTGGCCTTGGACCCTTTTGCCCTTCCGAAATGGTTGGGGCATATATATCAACACCGGCGCGCCAAACTTTCACCTTGTCCTCATGGTAAAAGTCTGGAAATTGGTTCTTCATCTTCTCATAATCCTCCCAAGTTGCCTCCAAGTCAGTCAATCCTTTCCATTGTATCAAAACTTCCAGATCTTGGCCACTCCCTCCTGTTTTGGTCCTGACCCCTCTTAAGGTCTCCGGTTTAACCAAAAGTTGTAATTCAGCACTGATCTCCTAAGGAATTTCGGTTGGTTGGTTGTTTCCAGACTCCCAAAGCTGCTTTCAGTTGTGAGACATGAAAGGTAGGATGAATAGCTGAGAAAGGTGGCAACTCCAGTTTATACGCCACTTAGCCAATCCTTTCCTGAACCGGTAGGGTCCGTAGTATCTAGCTGCTAGCTTTTCATATCTTCTCTTTGGTAAGCTCCTTTGTTGATATGGTTTTAACTTGAGATAGACCATATCCCCCACTTTAAACTCAACGTCACGCCTTTTCTTATTCCCCAAGAAGGCCATTGCTTGGATCTCATCAGCAACATGAAAGGTAGGGGACGTGTTTTGAGTCTTATGTTGCTGACAAACCACACACTTCTTGATGTAATCAGCTATAGCAGCCTTCATCCCCACCCAAAACAATTCGGTTGCTGTTCTCTGATATGTTTTCTTCTCTCCGGAGTGGCCCCCAATCGGAGAGTCATGAAAAGTGGATATTATCTCCGGAATTAGAGGGGAAGCAGCAGGTATGACCAATTTGCCCTTGAACAACAAATTTCCCTGCAAAACAACAAAGTCTTTGTGTGACCCGGCATTAACTTCAAGGTCCTTCTTAACTTTTTGGATGAACTCATCTTTATCAAGTTCCTCCTTCAGCTGTCCCCAAAACTTCCAATACCCAACACTTACTGAATTGCTGGGTTCTATCCGTGATAAAGCATCTGCTACTCTGTTGCTCGCTCCTGTCCGGTATTGCACTTCAAAGTCGTACCCCATCAACTTAGTCACCCACCGTTGATAATCACTCCCAATGAGTCGTTGTTCCAGAATATGCTTTAAACTTTTCTGATTCGTCCTTACAATGAATTTTCTTCCAAGTAGGTAGGGTCTCCATTTGAGTATTGCCCTTACGATTGCCATCAATTCTTTTTCGTAGATCGATTTCAGTCTAGCTGTTGTTCCCAAAGTGAAGCTGTAATAAGCGATTGGTCTGTTTTCCTGCATAAGGACCGCTCTTAACCCAAAGTCGGAGGCGTCCGTTTCGATAATGAATGGTTTGTTGAAGTTAGGCATGGCTAACACCGGCACCGTGGTCATAGCCTCCTTCAATTTCTTGAATGCCTTCTGAGCCTCGTCGCTCCACCCATATCTGTCTTTCTTGAGTTGTTTGGTGATATTCTTAGGATTAGGCCAGTCGACCATGGCCTGAATGGAAATTTCATGTCCCAAATACGAGAGCTTAGAGCGACCAAATTCACACTTTTTCAGATTCAAATAGAGCTTATGTTCTTGTAGTTTCTCAAGGGCAGTTGCAACATGAGTACAATGATCCTCCACTGGAGCTATAGATTAGGATATCATCGAAAAAGACTAAAATAAAATTTCGGAGGTAGGGTCGGAACACATCATTCATTAACGCTTGGAAGGTTGCGGGGGCGTTGGTCAAACCAAACGACACCACTTTGAATTCATAGTGGCCCTCATGGGTTCGGAACGCGGTCTTGTGGATGTTTTTCAGCCTGCATTCTGATCTGATGATATCCGGAATGGAGGTCCAACTTGCTAAACACCACCGACCTGTGCAACTCGTCAAGTAGCTCGTCTATCACAGGAATCGGAAACTTGTCTGGGACTGTAGCTCTGTTTAACGCACGATAATCGATACAAAACCGCCATGAACCATCTTTCTTCTTGACTAGGATAACCGGGCTCGAATACGGACTGTTACGGGCTTTGATTACTCCGGCTGCTAGAATCTCTTGTATCATTTTCTCGATTTCATTCTTTTGGAAGTGGGGGTACCTGTATGGCCTGACACTAATGGGGGTGGTGCCCTCCTTCAGGTTAATTTGATGTTCTAGCTGCCTTGTTGTTTCAGTGTTACATAACTCAATAAGTATCCCGCTCCCTTCTCTTTTAAGTTCCCGAGCGAGCCATTGCCCTTAAGGAAATCAAGGTTTTTCCTAAGGACCGGTCACCCTTTAGGCACACCTGCTCACCTGCCACCTCAAACTTCATTGTTTGTTCCTTTGAGTTGGTCTGTGTGGTTCCTAGCGTCTCGAGCCATTTCATTCCCAATATAACATCAGAACTCCCTAATCGTAGAGGTAAGAACATAGTTACCTAATTCGCGGTTCGATCCGGTACGGGAACGAGGTACGGGTACGGGATTCACTAGATTGGACGTATCCGATTCGGAGGGGGTAGGCTCATTTCGGTATGAACCGGTACGGTGTACCATGAAGTCCGGTACAGTGTACCCAAATGTAAACCATTTTTAGAAACATATTATTGTAAATGTATGATGAACAAGGAACATATTATATCAAGATTACCAAAATACCAAAAACAGTCTTAATTCATTAAGTACCAAAAGATGTAACATATTACATGCGAAATTACCAAACGTAAAACATCACAAGATTACCAAACATAAAACATCTAATCTAACCGCTGCCTTTTTCCTTTTCCGTTCTCCACGCTTTCTTCATTAAGATTCTCCCAAATCATTTCCTCCAATCGGGCACTTGAACCTTCTATATAATCGCTTTCCGGATTTATGTCCTATTTTTTCAGGGGTCCGGATTTATAAGATTCTGAGAAACGGGATAGAAGCCGAATGTTTGAGTGAATAAAAACTAGTTTGTCCGCTCTCTTGCAATTTAAACGATTTCGCTTCACGTTATGAATATAGGAGTATGTACTCCAATTTCTCTCCGCCGAGGAGCTACTAATCGGTTGAGAGAGTACTCTTTTCGCCACATCCGCCAATTCTGGAGTCTTCGATCCATAAGTTGCCCACCAATCAATTCTGTCCATGGTTACGACATCAATTTGAGTTGAGGTCATAGAGTAAATTCCTTTCTTCATATGAAATTTCACGAATTGTTCTCGTAAAATTTTGGCTTCTTCTTCATTCTCCGCAATTCTATCAAACGCCTCCATAACACCAAGTACAATTTCTTTATCTTGGTTGGGAGCTTTTTGTGCCATGCCACCGGGTGCCAATTTTTCTAGGTAGTGCTTATCATAGAATTTTGGATTTAAGGCAAATCCCAAACAATAAAGGGGTATTGTCATCTTCTCCCACCTATCCAAAACAATTTTTTCAACTTGAGGGTAATAACTTGCATATTTATTTTCCCTCATGACATCCTTGATTTCACCTAGCATGTTGTCCATCCTTTCATAAATCTCTCCCATTTTGGGACCTTCACCATCACAAAATTTTAGTAACAAAAATATTGGTTTTGTGATAGCCAATATATTTTCAACATCGTCCCAAAACTCATCATCTTTGATTGTATCGGCGATTTTTGACCCAAGTATTCGAGTGGCTTCATCCCCATTCTTGACCCATTCCCGCCAAGAATTAAGAACAATGGTTGTAGAAAGAGCCTCCCTGCACTCCATTAATCTATGCAAAACTATGTAGTGTGAGGCAAAACGAATCTTTGCAACCTTCAATAACTCTAGAGTTGAGTTTTCCCTAAAAAATGATAAAGCATGTGTGTGGTTAATAAAATACTTGACAATACCTTTGCCTCTCTTATAGGTCTCCTCTAGCCAATAAAATTCCTTTGCCAAGTCCTTAAAAATGAGATTTAAGGTGTGCACGCAACATGGGGACCAAAAAATATGTTTGTGTATCCTTTCGATCTCCCGCCCGGCAGCCTTGCAATTAGCCGCGTTATCGGTTACAACTTGTAATACATTACTTGGTCCAATATTATCGATGGCTCCAAGTAGAAACTTTGAAATTTCTACCCCCGATTTTTCAACCCCCGAAAAGTCTTCCGCGTACATGAATGTTGCACCACGGGAATTAACCGCAAGGACATTGATGAGTGGATTATGTTTCACATTAGACCACCCATCCGAGACTATTGAGACTCCTTGTGTGATCCACGTGTCCTTAATCGGTGTAAGCTCCTTCTCAACGTCCCTAACACATTCATCAAGTAATACGGTTCTCGCTTTTTCACACGATGGGGGTTTGTATCCATCCGGTGCATTCTTGATGGCGCTAATCATTTCAAGGAATTGCGGGTTACGTAAAACATTGAAAGGGATTCCGTTGGCACATAATCCTCGAACTATCTTCAAGTCCACCACGTTCCTCTCTAATATTCCAAATGATTCTTCAATGCGTTTCCTTGAAGATGCATTTTTAGAGAGAACG